GATTTTCATTATAGAAGAATAGATCCTTCATTAACTTGGATCATTTTTTCTTTATCGCAAAAGGATTATCCTTTCATGTTTTCTTAACTTTCTCTCAGAAACGTTCACTTCGAAATGTGAGGCTCATGGGAAATTTGACTCCGACAGGTCAAAGGAAGCAAGTTGAAACCCGAGTTATCTCAGCAAACTTCCAACCACCTGCACAAACAGCACTTAACAGGGAAAAAATAGGCCCTGCTGCCTGCTGGAGACACTAGCCTTCTCACGGTATTCGGATCTGTGCCGCCATCACGAATAAAAATACAAAAATTCCAACCGAAGTGAAGGAAGTTCTGTGGGAAAACACAAACGGCGAGGAGGCTGCAGGTTGCAAAGGCACACGAGGTTTCAAGCCTCCTGTGGGTGACCAGTGAGATGACAGCTGGGCTCAACGGGCTCAAAATCCATTTTATAAATCTGTGTGATTTGTAATTATAGCATCATACATCTATTTTAGCCAAATATGCTACTCAGATCGATGTCCGTGGGGTACCCCTGTGTGCAACCTACAATTTTGACTCCACCCAGTTGGTCTGATGCAAATGGTTTTCCACCGGCGAAGGAAACCGCCTACTTCCCACCACTGCTTCACAGGCTCAGGCAAACTCCGCCCAGCAGGCATCCAGGAGCCAGACAGATACTTTATCACCGTCTTTTCTGTATCCCGAGATGCTCACTGGACACCTCCAGGACCACTGCTTCAGCAGTGGTACCCCAACAAGCCCCAGGGGGCTTTACTTGGGACGTGAGGAGGCCCACGAGCATCAGGGATCAGGTGTGTTGGAGCTGCTTGCGCCCTGGGCTGGATCTGCGTTCTGCAGGGACCCTTCTGTGCTGCTTGGCCCAGCCCGTAGCTGACTGGCACTCTTTAAGAGCAAGCGTGCTGTGAGACGTCGTTTAGGAACGCTGGCCATCTGCACATAACATCTGATTGTAAGAAGCCCTCCAGGAAGCCCGGGGTTGGTGAGAAAGCACTGAAAGTGGGCATCCTCGAGACACTCATCCAGGGCAAGGCAAAAGTAGGCTTCCGGTTGGGAGTACACAAAACACAGCGTTTACTCTTGGATTGTTACTTATTAATGACTGGCTTATTTTCCATATGAACAACGGTAAACCTACCTTTGCCCTGCCCTGTATTTAATTCCAGTAACTCAGGGGACCCGAGGTTTGGCAGACGCACAGATGCCACCACCAGGCCTGGCTTTGCTGTCACTTGCACAAATACAGGCGACTGTGGTGTCAGGCTGTCTCCATCTGCCCAGGGTGACGACCTCGCTGGCCTGGGGCGCTTGCTCAAGGCCAAATGCATGGTTCGTGCGTACTAGAGTCCCTTGAAGAGCATACCGACTGAAGCTTGCTGACCCTGGACAGCACCTGGTGGCCTCCAGGATGGCGTGGCCCCTTGGACGGTGCTCAGCACCTGGTGAACAATGCTGTTCAGGCTCACGTTGGGCTCACAACCCCAGCTGGAATGCTCCCGAAGTTTGGGGTGTGTGACTGTGTAAAATAATTCACATCTCCAATGGATTCAACCACTTTAAAGGTCAAAGAAATCTATAGGTTCCCAGAATTAAAGCTACTTTGTCAAAAGAGCGACTTCTGCTTATTTTGTTACATACTTTTTTACAAATTTTCCTTCCCTGCTCTCAAAATGGATTTTTCCCGTGCGCTGTTTAATGGGTATACAGTGGTCAGTTCAAATATGAAATTCTCAGGAACCACCAGAAATGTACACAATAACCTCTGTTGTGTGCAGTTTTCTTGGCACTAAATATCTTGTATCTTTCTTGGCAAAACCATGTTTTAACATTTTATGGTGTGTAGTTGTTTTTCCTAAAAAAATGAAAAAAAACACTTCTACTGGCAAGTCTTAATTCTTAACAGTTTCGTAATCACTTCTAATAAGTTTGTGCAAGTGAGAATGCACCTGGGATCCCGTGCAATGATCTGGTTTCCACTAATAAGGAAGAAGCCTGTGAAACTAGATTATTGTTGCTGATGAAGCAGGCTGTAGGGCAGTAATTTATTCCCAGGGACGTCCAGTGGCACGAGGCCAGAATTTAGAACGAAACCATGCTTGGCAGCTCCACCACGTGGTGACTTGGAAATGGGAAATTAACAAATTTTCATTCTCTCAGGGAACCTCTTAAATAATGAAATACTCCTTCCTTGCCTCTTCAGTGAGATAATGCAATCTCCCAATCACAACTGCTTTGCAAAATCTATGACCCAAAGGACCGCGGAGTGGACGGTGCGCTGCTGGGGACTTTCAGAGTTCTGAACCGCGATGAACCCCACATTTACCTCCAACCCAGCCTCGGCCCCGCCTGACGAATCAGGTAAAATGTGTGGGGAACTCCTCTGCTGCCCCACGTGGCAGACTTGTTTTAGGTGCAGAAGAAATACAAAATCGAGCTTTGGAAATAGCAGATGATCCCTGACCCATCACCTGAGGTGCTTTTAAATTTCCAAGGGGGGAAAAAACCCCACTCAGTTCCCATCCTGCTTCGTGTTCTTTTTCATAAACAGCTTTAGTTTCTGAAGACAGGATTTCATTTCAGGCTTCCAAATACCTTATCAGGAATATAAAGCATCACCGGATTAAAAGAAAAAAAAAAGTATTGTTTATGTAGAAGCATCCATTACCCATCAGAGAGCTGACAAGGGTTGGACAGCCACCTAAGTTGCAGTTTTCCGTAAAGAACCACCTTCCAGCAGGGCTGCTCCGTCCTTTCCTTTGGAAAGCCAGCCTCCTCAAAGGTCCCTGCTCCTCCCCCCACCCCCCAGCTAAGTCTCAATTTACATAACTCCAGGAAGTGAGAGTCACTAACAGGATTTTGACTCAAAGTCCAATTTTCAGCAGCAAGGCCTGCCAGGAAAATGTCCCACATTCGATTGTCTATTTCATTCCTGTCGCTAAATTATACTTTTTGTAATTTAAGTATTCCCATTAAAATGTCACATTCAATGACATCGGAGATGAAAAGGTGGAGAAATCTGATACAAGATACAAAGAATTATAGCGAACTTCATTCAAATGACCTAGCTTGAAATCTAACTTGCTATTATCATGCATTCTGGGAACAGCGTCTGCTAACTGGCTGCAATAGAAATATTCTGGGCCCAGAAACCCAATAGAACGAAGGACACCTGCAGAGAAGAAACAAGAAGGAAAACTAACCAGCCCACACCTGCAATTGCCTCTTTCTATTTCAGGGGCTGGGAGTTTTCACAGCAACCTGGGAAGGCCCCTCTACGGGTGCTGCCCTCATTTCTATGCAAAGCGGCCCACAGAGCTGCAGCCCGGGGAAACTCTGGTAGGACAAGAAGAGAATGACCATTCCAGAGACTCCTAACTCTGAAATAGATTTTCAATTATTACCTCTCAACTAGCTCAGACTGGCCATGATGATGAGCATCAGATAAATTTTGTCTCACCAGCCCATCCCAAGAGGGGCTTCTTCCTGCCATGCTTGACTTCACTGTGAATAACAAAGATTCATGCTCTTCTCCGCAAGGATTGGTGAGAGCCAGAGAGTCTGTGAGGACACCGTGACATGTGTAAGTGACCTCCCATCTCTTTGGCACTGTCCACTATTTCTCAAGATGAAGGTGACCCAGGGATCCCATGAGCAAAGCAGAGAGCTGAGACACCCACGTGGAGCTGGTGGGGAACACAAACAACACTCCAGCCAGAAGAGAGACCCCGCAGTTAGCCCTTCCAGCGGAACTTTATTACATAGCAACTCTTTGCAATAGCAAAGCAACGTGAACATTGAACTTGGCACACAAACAAGAGAGAAGGGATGCTGGCTTTGAACCCTTCTCCTCATGACATCGGATCATATAAGGCTAATTATACGGAGTTACAGGTTTCTGCTTTTCTTTGGCAAAGGCCTCAAATAATAGCAAGAGAAGATTTCTCCAAATAAGGATAGTGCTGCACACCCAAAGGGGCACCCAAGAGGAGGGACGTGTGGGCCATCGGCTTAGTCAATTTGTTTTTAAGCTGATTCTCACGGGTGTGCTCCAGTCTGGAGGGTTCGGCAAGTCGAAGCCCATGGTTCCAAAGCACGGGAATAACTAGAAGGTCCTTCCAAGTCCTCTGTATGTCTTGTGTCTTCCTTCCCCTGAGAGCTGGTCAGGCGCGCAGCCGTTTAGCCCTTTCCCTGTTTATCTAAAGGGTAAAAATCAAAGAAGATTTGGAAAAAGGAACAACTAAGCTAGTGACATAGAATTTGTTTTTCTCACTGAAACGCTATTTACTGGTTTTGAGTAAGATACGCAGTTGAGCTAAAGACCGGCGTGGTGATGGAAGTCCTTGACGTGCGTGCGGTTCAGCACCACTTCTGTCTGGCCCGTGGAAGGAGGATTCTTTCGGGAGAGGGCAACGGCTGGAACCGGCCCCCTGCACCCCAACCTGGGCTAGGACCCTGGGCAGAGTCTCAACAGAGGTAGTTTTTAAAAACTTTTATACCAACACCACTACGGAAGCATCGAGTACAAAAGGGTGGGCTTCCTTCTCACTCCACTGTGGCGGGCAAAGGTGTCCCATCTTCAAAAGAGGCTGGTGAGGACCGCTGGGTGATGACCTCCATTTAGGGCACAGAAAGACCCAGAAAAGGGGCCTGCTGCTCTTTCCGACTCAGAAGGGGCAGGCCGCTCTATCTTCAGGTCCCGGCTGCTTCTCCTGCAGTCATACTGTGAGTCTCCTTGGACCGCTCGGACCCTGGTTGACGCCTGGTGCAAAATACTGTTAAGTGCAATTCATACAAAAAGCTTCCCATCGGCCGGGAAGAGTGAGAAGCTACATGCGCTCACTTCTCCAGAGACGGGAGCGAGGAGCGCCAGCCGAGGCTTGCTTTTTATCTCGAGGCACATCAAGACGGTTTGGTATACCAGTCACAGGAAGTCTGAAGCCCAATTCACTCTGTTTTGGTTTAGAATGAGGTTTGTTTTATTATCATTTTTCTCGGAAGAAGGAAGTTAAGAAATCAAGAATCAAAATACAGTGAATCTGGAAGGCATCTGGGAGCAGAACAGAGAGTTAAGACTAACGGACAGAGGAAGAAACCTGGCCTTGCGACCCCTTGCCTGCTGCGCTTGGAATTTAATTCTCTTCGTAGCCGAGTTCAAGGCAGCCCAAGTTCAGGCTTCGTTCTTCATTTCCAGCGATGCCGGACAAGAGAGGACTCATCGTTGACCACCTCGGGGTCCCGGGCGCCCGGCTGACACCGGATCGGGACGAGCAGCAGGATGATTAAGACAAGGAGGATGATCCCACACACACTCATGAGAGTGTAGGAGACGATCCACAAAATGGGCTCGTTCAGAGGCAGGGCGGGGACACAGTTGCTGGCTATGTCGTCTGTTGAGAAAGGCCCAGAAATTTCAGACACCGGCATACCCGCGATTTCTGAGGAGACAGAAGGGGGAGAGCCACAGCTGTGAAATGAGCAGTCCGTCTCGAACGCGCGACAAGAGAGCGAGCCCCAGGCTTTATCAAACCGCGGTCGCACTGGCACTGGGTTCCAACGGCTCAAGCACTTGAGCGCCAGTGGCTCAAGCACCTGAGCGTGCCCTGGGTGAGTGGGGAGGGGGTGTCTTGGTGGCAGCGCGCCTCAGCGGGTCCAGTCCCCTGTGGCTGGGGCGACAGCATACTTCAAGGTTGCAGGTGTGGGGCCTGCGCGGTAGGAGGGCGCACACAGGAGCATAGGTGCTTCGCGGAGGGCTGGCAGGGCTGCGGGGCCCTGCAGGTGGGCGTCGCTCAGTGCCCCGCGGCACAGCCCCGGGGCTGGCGGGAGAAGGGAAGAGAGCGGCAGTGTCCACAGCCACAAGCTCCGCTGAGCCTGCCTGGGCCACGGGGACTTCCCCGGTAGTCACCTGGGCTCTGCTCTCTAGCGGGTTCTAATTCTACCCCATGGAAGTTCGGCTTCTAGTTTTCTGACGACTGTCGATACTGTTTTTCATAATGGTTGCACCATACGACCCAGCAATCCCACTTCTGGGTATTTATCCAAAGAAAACAAAAACATTGATTCAGAAAGACCTATGAGCCCCTGTGCTCACTGCAGCATTCTTTACAACAGCCGAGATCCGGAAGCGGCCTCGGCGTCCAGTTACAGACGAACGAATGGAGATGCGGTACAAATGAACAATGGGCTATGACTCAGCCACGTACACATGAAATCTTGCCATTCGTGACAACGTGGATGGACCACCAAGGCTGTTATGCTGAGTGAAAAAAGTCAGAGACAGGTAAGTACCATGTGGTTTTACTTAAGTGTAGAATTACAAACAAACAAACAAACAAACAACAGACTCATAGAAATAGAAAGGCAAGGACCTCCACCCAAGATTACTCTATCCAGCAAAGCTATCACTTAGAATGGAAGGGCAGACAAAGTGCTTCCCAGACAAGGTAAAGTTAAAGGAGTTCATCATCACCAAGCCATTATTATATGAAATGTTAGAGGTACTTATCTAAGAAAAAGAAGATCAAAACTAGGAACAATAAAATGACAACAAACACAACTATCAACAACTGAACCTAAAAAAACAACAACAAGCTAAGCACACAACTAGAACCGGAACAGAATCACAGAAATGGAGATCCCATGGAGGGTTATCAGGGGGGAGGGGGAAGGGGGAGAATGGGGGAAAGGTACAGGGAATAAGAAGCATAATTGGAAGGTACAAAATAAACAGGAGAAGGTTAAGAATAGTATAGGAAATGGAGAAGCCAGAGAACTTACATGTACGACCCATGGACCTGAACTAAGGGCGGGGGATGCTGGAGGGAGCGGGGTGCAGGGTGAGGGGAATAAAGGGGAGGAAAAAGTGGCACACCTGTAATAGCATAATCAATAAAATATAATTTAAAAAATAAAAAAAAAAGAAATAGAGATCAAATTTATGGTTGCCAGAACGGAGGAGGGAGGGGGGTGTGTGAAAAAGGTGGAGGGGAATGTTGTTGATACGGTGACACTTGCACGGTGACAGAGGGTTGCTGGACTCATTGTGGTGACATCGCATTGTGAGGTGTGTAAATGTCAAATGTCAAATGTCAAGGGGATGTATTGTACCCTTGAAACCAATATAATGTTATATGTCAACTATACTTAAATGTAAAATGTTTTAAAAAGAGTATTAAACAACCACAAAAACTTCTGCCATAGATAGTGTCCTTACATCGGCCTGACCCACACTTTCTTTTTTAAAGACTTTATTTTTTAGAGAGAGGGGGAGGGAGGGAGAAAGTGAAGGAGAGAAACATCAGTGTGTGGTTCCCTCTCCCGCTCCCCTAACTGGGGACCCTGCCCCGCAACCCAGGGGTGTGCCCTGCCTGGGAATCAAACCAGCAGCCTTTTGGTTTACAGGCGTCAGCCCACGGAGCCACACCAGCCAGGGTATGACCCACAGTCTTAACAGAGTCCATGATCACGTGGGTCAGACTGGCCCCGGAGCTCCTCTCAACCCCCACTTGTCCCATGTGATACCCACAGTGGACGGAGGACCCAGAATCAAGAGTGGTTCATGAATGCACCATCGAATTCATGGCGTGGATGGTGAACCAAGAGAAACCGAGCTAAGACCGGCCCGGGGCTCCTGCTTGGATGGTGCTCTGACTGGGCAACTGGGGAGGCAGTTGAGATGATTTCTGAAAGCAGTTTTGGGGATTATCAGTATTTTATTGAGCTACACGAGACTTATCTGCCCCTTTCGGTAGTACAGAATTTGTGTGGCGTTTGAAGTTTTACTTAGAAAAATAAAAAGCCCTCATTATCCACTGTGTGCATGTTTAATTGCAGAAAGCACCAGATAATCATGTTGCCAAGCATTTAATTTTTCTGTAACTGAAGCCTCAGGACCCTAGGGGCTATCGAATAAGACCCTTTTTTGACTGAGGAAAGAACAAGTCAAAATAACAATGGAATAATGGTTTTAAGGGAATGGTTTAAAATGAGGCGGAAAAAGAAAACTTTAATCAATACGTTTTCTTGCTAACATGAATTCCACACGTAGAGTCATGGTTTTATCTAATTATGCTGGGAGAGAAAAGCAACGACTACAAGTCTGCCAATACCTAAGAGCAGGGGGAGGTGCGTCTCCATGTAATGCAGACGCCCAAGCGGTAGTGCGAAAAGACATCCTACAGGCCAAGTCTGGCCTGCCATCTCTTTTTGCAAATCAAGTTTTGTTGGAACACAGCCCCATTCGTTCAGTTCCATATTGTCTATGGCGACTTTCTTGCTACAACCGCAGAGCGGAGCAGCTGCGACCAGACCATCTGGCCGGTGGGCCTGAAGGATTTACCACCTGGCTGTTTGTGGAAGTAAAAGCTGGCCAATCCCTGGCCTACAGCATAAAAATGCAAATACTGAACAAACAAGGGTGAGAACTAAAAATAAGCCTACTCTTATTGCAAAGGCAACATCAGACATATTGATGGTAGAAAACTTGAAAATACAAGTAAAAGGAAAGTAAAACACATACATTCACCACTCAGAAATAATCAACATTCATATTTTAGAATGCAAACTTTTCTAACACATCACTTTTTTAAAAAGAAACAAAACCAAAAACTAAGTTAGGGTCATGTAGGGCATGCTGTTCTGTAAACTCTGTCTTCACTTTACACGTGATAAAAATCTTTTCATGTCAGAACCATACTACTTTTTAAGACTACACAAAAAAAGCCAAATTGTGGATGTATTAAATTTGCTTACCAATCCCTACGTATGGCCCCTTAAGTAGTTTTCAGTATTCTTTCCACTAGAAATACTGATGTGTGAAACCTTTGTCCCTAAATCTTTGCTCATAACCTTTAAGTTTTTCAGAACGAGTCACTAAAAGTAGAACGATGGGCCAAGGAATGCTCCCTTTTAAGCATCTGCATATTATTTGCTGACAAATCGCCCACAAGAGAGACCAGCCAGTCTCCACGCCCACGGAGGCAGATGGCAATGGCCTCTGCCCACTCTCACCAGCACTGGAAACGTAAGGAAGAACGGTGGTCCTCAACCCAAAACCGTGATGCCTACGATTATTTGTTTATTCGTGGGGGAAGCCACTTAAAAAAACACTCATTGGCCATTTATACTTTTCTGTTATAATTTCTATCATTTTCTCATTGATTTTACAAATCCTTTATATGGTAAAGCTTTCTTACACTGCCAACGTCTTTTCACAGTAGGTCGTTTGTCTTTTTTAAACTACATTTCCTTTATAAGTAGAGGTGCTTTAACAAATGCAATTAGGAGAGTGAAACATACATAGTAGTGCAAAGGCCCTAACCCTCCAGACATTAAAAATCACTTGAAACCACTTCCACTGCCAGGTGGGATGGAGTAAGAGGGGCCAGATTTACCCTCCCACCTGAAATAACTAAAAAAATGAACAAAGTATATGGGAGGAAAAAAGAAAAGACCGAAGATCTTGGAAGCTGGGCAGGGAGAACCGGTAAGTCCTGGGAGGTGAGAAAGAAATGAAGTGACTCCCACAGGCGCCCGGCCCACGGACTCGAGACAGCTCCTAGGCTGTGGCCCGGGGAACAGAGACGCGGGTGCAGGCCAGCAGAGCTCGCCGAGTCGGGGAGACAGAGGGAGAACAAACCGTTAGAGTTTTCAGGGAGAACAGCGCGCAGAGGACGGCCGCACACAGGGAAACCCCCTGCTGCCCAGGGGACCTCCCTTCAGCCCAGCTGAGTGCTGACCGGACAAATGAGTGAAGTCCGCCGAAAGGCCCGCTGGGAGGGCCATAAGAGACTGTGCTCGGGGCTCACATGCAGGGCTGGGAGTGGTGCCTATTGCCAAGTGTTTCCTGTTCACTGTTTTCTAGAGAGAAAGAAAAAAGAACAAGCCCAATTCACAGGGTATCACTTCAAGGACTATGAGTCTTTTGCCTGTAAGCCATAGACTAAACATGCCTCTGACCCCATCTCATAATGCCTAAAAGCAAGATAAGGCAGGATCAACTCTTTCTAAAGCGACTCAACTGTAATCAAGAACAAATCTCAGGAGTATTTGTCAGGACACAAAAGCACTGCACTCTTTCAGGCTCCTGAGCCCAACTCCAGTGTGGGTGGGGGGTAGCTCTAACACCAGCAAGCGGTTCTCGCACACCAGCAAGGCGTCCAAGAATTCAACTCAGCGCTCATATTAGTTATAGAAAAAGACCTAAACCAAACTTCTACATGTGAAAACTGCAATATGCAAGATGCAAAGGACACTGCGTGGTATTAACAGCAGCATATACACTGCAGAAAATAAGACTAGTGGACTTGAAAACATATTAGAAATGATCCAAAACATAATACAGAGAGGCAAAATGTATAGGGAGAACATCAGTAACTGCGGGACCACTTAAAGTGGCTAGATATCCATGCAATTAGGCTGCCCAAATGAGAGAAGGGGA